AGGACGTGGAGACGTTACTTGTGAAAATGTATGGTGATGACTGGCAGAAACATGACTTTTTATCTTGGTATAAGACCATAGTAGTGGAAGTTCAGGACGACGAAATTGATGCTGACGAAGTGGACGAATCTGTGATTGTCTAGAACCTGACATTGGACTACACATTTAAACATTTATATTTTGTTGAAAGTGTCGTTGGTAAATGTTAGCCATTTTTCAAGATATTTTTTGTAACAATACAATAGATATTTTAAGTAGTCTAAGAGTTTTTTTATCAACCCCTTCTATCAACGTCCATGAAGTCCAATCAAATAAGAACATGTCTTTTTTTTAAATGTATTTACAGGTTTATTTATACCTTCAGATTTGAAATATTTACTAAGAGTCAGTTAATTTCAATAAATAAAATGATATATGCTAATTTATCCGATTTTTCATGTAAGGTTATTTACTAATACGTTTTTTGCGATTTCCCTAAAACTTCTTAAGGTGGACATGATTGATTTTGATTGACACCTCCTCAATTATAATTAATCACATTTATGCATAGTGATTCAGATCAATATTCGGAACAAATGGCCACCCAAAGTAGAAGATATTAATCATATTAAAACATTCTCCTTAGTTTTTATAGTAACGTAGGTCACCATGTACACTTAAAATAAAAATGTCTTGGGAAAACGTGTAATTATTAAAATTAAAATAGACACTTAAAATTTCAAACACCTTTAACCAATTAACTGCGCTACACAATTTTGCGCTAGGTTAATTAAACATCTAAACTGTCCATCTCAATTGTGTTATTTCTCACTGAGTACCTGTAGTAATAAAAATGTATTTACCATAACCTTTATGTTGACTAATTGATGTACTTAATTTTTTTACTTAATACACAATGTAAAGGTCATCAATTCATAAACTTTTTGTTTTAATAAAAACGTTACGAATATTTTCTATTATAATTTTAGACATTGAAGTAAATCGTGAAACGAATTCGAAATATCGGAAAGGGCTAACGAAGACAGTAACATCAATGGTCATCAAAATAACAAAGGAGGAAGTGGTTCAAGCAATTCAAAAAATAACGAAAGGAAAAGCAGTTGGACCAGATGATATTTCTGGGCAAATATCGACAGCATTAGTAGAGATAGGAACAAGTTGGCTAACAGGTTTATTTAATAGAATTATGGAAGAGGGATAAATGCCAGACGAACGGAGAAGCAGTATATTAGTACCTGGTTATAAAAATAAAGAACATTTACAACGATATACAAACTGCAGAGCCATAAAACTATTTAGTCGTTTAGTTAAACCACGTACGTAGATTTTTCAACTAGGTCTCCGATTTCCTTCTACTTTTCCTTGAAGAATTAAATGCAGCAACCCGTATATTTCGATGTTCCTTATGATGTGACTGAGGTATTCAATTTTGGCTGTTTTTATTGTGGTTGACAACTCTTTTTCTTTTTGCATTCTTAATAAAACGTCCAGTTTGGTTTTATGCAAACCAGATCAACAACAGATTTAATTTTTATTTTAAGCATTATGATAAGAGTTTCTCGAGAGATTCTGGGGTGGGTCACAGCTCAGTATTAAAGGAGTTACATGTGAATATGTAAAGATCGTGAGAGTCATATATAAAGGAGTAACAACTAGTGTTAGGACAGATGTGAGAGAGACTAATAAATTTCATGGGAAAGTAGCATTGCACCAAGGTTCAGTGCTTAGTCCTTATTTTTCTCATTAGTTTTTGATCAGAAACTGGTCCTATGTTGAGATAAAGCCTAAGCGAATAATGATGATTATCAATTCAATAGTCTGTCTATCATCACCAACTATTCCAGAACCGTAACTTACGGACAATGTTCATTTTACTTCAATATTTCAGTATTCAATATTACCGATAGTACCTATAGATACTACCTAATATTCTTGGTATTGTTCCAGCAGGTAACCGATTATAATCCCGTAATAAAAGGATGTTTCAAAATTTTATTGCGAGGGGTATGAATAGAATTGTCCCTTTGTCAGTCGAACTTGTTTAATTTGTTATCTATTTTAACAAGATAGTTTTAATGAGGAGTTGTGCCGTGCATTAAGCTGTTCAAATATACCGCTTTCAAAATTATCCAATGAAAACTTTTTTTTTAATAAAATATTTTAATTGAATATTCCAAGTGAAAGAACTCTAAAGAGAAACCATGTCAACTCTTACTCGTCAGTAATAGATAAAAAAACTAAGGACAATTACTTCTATGTGCGTGTGTGTTGGGTGGGTGTGTTGACGAAACCCCTGATTTGTCAGGAAGATATATCGCTCATTTAATGATTGGCGTTCTAACCGATCAGATATTACCAAAATCCTATTTAATGTCATGTAAACAATTAGAAAAAAAAACTGCACCATATATGGTCTTCTTCTTCTTCTTCAAGTTCCACTCCTATCGGAGATTGGAAATCATTCTGGCAATTATAATTTTATTGGTTACTCGCCTAAATAGTTTAACTGAACTGCATCCAAACCATTCACGGAGATTGCGTAGCCACGAGATTTTACGTCTTCCTACGCTTCTTCTACCTTTGATTTTACTCTGCATTATATTTCTTAGTTATATTCCTTAGTCCTTATATAATCAAAGTTAAGCTAGTACTAGATAATATAGAAATTGAACAAATATCTTCGTACAAATACCTTGGAGCATGGATCACAGAAGATACTGATCAGACAAAAGAAATAAGATGCCGCATTGAAATTGCGCGGTCAACTTTTAATAGAATGAGAAAACTTTTTTGTAATCGCGATATCAATATATCGCTCCGGATAAGAATGCTTCGATGTTATATTTTCTCTATGGAGAAAATTTCTTTTGTATGGAGTTGAAGCTTGGACACTTAAAAAATCCAACATTAAAAACCTAGAAGCATTCGAAATGTGGTGTTACCCACGTATTTTGAAAATATCATGGATGGATCGCAAAACAAACGAACAAGTTCTCGAACAACTAGGAAAACAATGCGAAGTTTTAAATTCCATAAAAGTCGATTATGCTGCACTCTGTCAAATGCCTTCTCAAAATCAATGAAACAGGCATATACTTCTGATTAATATCTAAGCATCTCTGCGAAAGAACACTTACTGCAAACAGTGCATCTCGTGTTCCAGTCCTTTCCTAAATCCCGTTTGTGTATTACTTATGCCTTCATCTAATTTCTTATGTATTCTATTGTGAATTACTTTTAAAAACAATTTCAAGACATGACTCATTAAGGCTATGGTGCGATGTTCATTGCACTCCTTTGCATTGGCTTTTTTGGGAAGCAGTATGAATGTTGATTGGAGCCATTCTTTAGGTATTATACCTGTTTTATATATGGTATTGAATAGATCCAAAAGAAGATCAATAGATTCAGTATTCACAATTTTTTTAAGTAATTCGATAGGAACTTCATCAGGCCCGGGAGATTTACCACCTTTAGCTTGTTTCATTGCATATTCAATTTCTTCTCGTATAATGTCAGGCCCAGTATCATCCTTAAATTCTTTTGGTGCTTCTGTTCTCTCTTTGTCTTCAAAAAGTTGTGCTATATATTGTGTCCATCTCTCATTTTTCTGTTATAAGTGCACCCCTTTCATCTCTTAGTTGCCTAGTTTGAAGTGTTTTTCTCATTCCTGTTAATTCTCTAATTCTTTTATGCATGTTAAAAAAGTCATATTTTTTCTCAATTTCTTCTAGTTCTTGGCACTGCTCATGTAACATTCTCTCCTTAGCTTCTTTTATTCTCTTTTTTATTAATCGATCAGTTTCATTATATTTAATTGGATTTTTTGTTTTTAATGATTTTCTTTCATTCATTAATAGTAGTATTTCTTCAGTCATCCAATCTTTATGTTTTCTATTCTTTGGTTTTAAGTTTTCATTTGCTGTTTTAATTATTGCTACTTTTATATTTTCCCATTTCTGATCAATGTTATAGCTACTTTTATTCAGTTCCTGGACATTACGTAGATTTTCAGTAAGAGTTTTTACAGTTTGTTCCTTTGTTTGTGGTTCCCTTAATCTCTTAATATAAATTCTACTTTGTGTGGGTTTTTTAACCAGTTTTAATTTGGTTCGTAATGTGACTACTATGGGGTTATGGTCTGAACCGATGTCTGCTCCAGGGTAAGTTTTGGCAGACAGTATAGAATTACGAAATCTTTGTCTAATAAGGACAAAGTCAATTTGATTTCGGATTATTCTATTCGTTGTATCACCGGGAGATTTCCATGTATACAATCTTCTTTTTGGTAGCTTAAAAAGTGTATTAGCTATTACAAATTCTTCCGTCTGGCAAAATTGTATCAAACGGTCACCACGTTCATTTCTATTTCCGAGACCATATTCCCCCACATATCCATCCACTCTTCCCTGGCCAACTTTGGCATTGAAGTCGCCCATTACTATTGTAGTGTGATGTTTCTTCATTGATTTTAAGACTTGTTCCAAATCATGGTAAAACAGTTCGTTATCGTCGTCATCTTTATCTGCCGTAGGAGCATAAACTTGGGTCATCAACATATATCAATGGTCAAGGCAGAACAAAATTTAAAAATGATTTATACCAATTAAGCCAAATTAATACACGTTACTTGTTTAGCACATGGAATGAACAGAATTGCGGAAGAAATAAGAAAAATAGCTACTAACCGTTTGAAAGTGCAAAAGAATGCTCCAAGGTAAGACATATGGAAAATAAGATAATGTCTACATGTTAAGAAACAGGCACCAAAATTAAAAATATTAGCTTTCCAGTTAGATCCATCAATAATCAATATTATATATCGTTAGTTTTAGAGACAAATTTTTAGACAGTATGAGATTTATTTCTTTCAAGTTCTACTAAGAGAAATGTTTCCACGACTTGTTCCCTCCAAATCCCCTTTTGTTTAAATTGAGATTATTATGCTCCCAAACTTGCTTTCATCTTACTAAATATATTTATAACAATAAATAACTTACCTTCTTTCTGTCATCTGGCGGTACATTGACGTGTGATCTGTTTCTAAAGATGTCCATAACTTTAGTCATCGGACTACGGCTGGATGACGCAGCAGTGACTGTATGGTAGTACTGTGTGTCGGAACCGCCATCTCTAACTGGATGTGCTGAACCATCTCTGGGCGCTTTGTGTCGAGAATGATTAAAATACTGGAAGCAAAAAATTGAGTCTAGTTTAGTGTTTAGTTTTTAGCAATGTATATTTATGACTAATTCTATACAAACTATGTTTGTCAGAAAAAAAATAAAGAATTTGAATTTGAGTTTAACGTTTATCCAAACAACTCACAAATAAGGTAAAAAAAACTCTATATTTAGAGGTGTGTATAATTTTTATATATCTCTTTTCTTATGTAGTACCGTAAAACGGGGTGAATAGAAACAAAACTTTATTTATATTATGTAATTTATTTCGTACATAACTCTGGATAAATAGTGGCGACCATTATTTTTTTGTATGTTGCTACACTTTAGGCTAAAGCGAAAATAATGTTTTGTTTGGTTGGCAGCACTGGTTCCCGTTTGTTTGTCTTGATGACATTTACCACGCGATTCTTGTGTTTTTTTATCCACTTAGAATTTTCCAGGTAAGTCAGAATACGTAGTGTTCTTAAAAGTAAATAGCTGCACAAAACATAGTTTAATTATCCATACAAAAGATTACGGCTTACTTTAAGCTTTAACTTTAAGGATACTATTTCAAAAATTATTCATATTTTTAGGTTATGTTTTCAGAATTTATGGGATGAATAGAAACACATAATTTTTACTGTTTCTATTCACCCCACAAGAAAATTGTAATACTAAATCACATTTTATACTAGATAAAATACATATTGTGTGTTATATATTTATGTTAGACACTTAAATGGCATAGCTGTTTTGTTTCAGGGCCCTGTAAAATGCCAAGAAAGTACAAACCGGTGGTTGGAGGGGGCTACAAAAAGCACGATCAAAAAATAATCGAAAATGCACTTTCTGACATACAGAATGGACTAAGCCTTCGGAAGTCTACTGAGAAACATGGTTTGCATTATAGTATTATATATCGGCACTGAAAAGAGGCCTCAATGTGAAGAAACATGGTGGTCAGACAGCTTTATCTCTCGAAGAAGAACAACTGTTTGTTGAAAGGCTGAAGATATGTGGCGAATGGGGCTATCCTATTGACACTTCAACTCTACGACTCCTTATAAAATATTTCTTGACCGAAGAGGGAAAGAAGTTAAGAGGTTTAAAGATAACCTTCCTGGCCGTGACTTTGTTGAATCATTTTTAAAACGTCATAAGGATCAACTGGCCGTGAGAATGTGTCAGAATATTAAACGATCGAGAGTTGGTGTGACACCAGAAACAATTAACAACTATTTTGATGAACTGACAAATGAATTAAAGGATGTGCCCTTATCTAATATTGTTAACTATGATGAGACGAACCTAAGTGATGACCCTGGTAAACGAAAGGTCATTACACGTAGAGGGACAAAATATCCAGAAAGGATCATAAACTCATCAAAGGCATCTACGTCTGTGATGTTTGTAGCCGCTGCTGATGGCACTATTTTACCCCCTTACGTAGTCTATAAGGCATTGCACTTGTACCAAATCTGCTTCGAAGATTGGGTATTGACAGTTGCTCTTTCATACCTGAAAAAACAAACGGGTCAAAAATTTCTGATTGGGGACAATTTGTCTTCCCATCTATCAGTAGAATCTGTGAAGTTGTGTAAAGACAATGCTATCAATTTAATTTTTCTCCCAGCTAACTCTACCCATCTGACACAACCTCTGGACGTGACATTTTTTCGGCAATTGAAAGCAACAAAGCAACATGGCGACAGATTCTCGAAGAGTGGGAAAAGGGCCAGGAAGAGCGGAAGCAACTGTTCCTAAGGATAAATTTCCAATGTTATTGAAAAAGTTGTGTGATTCATTGAAGAAAGAAAATGTGATCGCCGGTTTTAAGAAGTGCGGTATAGCGCCTCTAAATAGGAACAAAGTGCTGTCTATGCTTCCACAAATTATTGATGAAGAGAAAAACCAAAATCCCGAAAACATTCAGAAGAACCACGAAGCTGTTGACAATAGTTTCAAAGAGCTCATTCATAGTCTTAGAGAAGATCAGACTCCTAAGATAAGGAAAAATAAAACCAAAAGTTAATGTGAAACCGGCAAAAGTTTCAGTGTTGAGGACTTTGTCGACGACGATGAGAAAATCCCCAAACTTCAGTTGCTGGTGACCAAAACCCATGTTCCTCCAAATAAAAGCCGAAAGCGCCTGGAGTTATCATTAGAAGATGAAGATGACTTTTCAGTGCAGGATACTGACTCTTCAGATGCCCCTGATCTAGATGAAAGTACTGACAAGGCCTCAGGCGAAAACCTCATCATCAATGAAGATAATGTTAGTCAAAGTTTATGGTAAAAAAAACATCTTTTAGATGTAAGGTTGCTTTCCTTGAAGATGACGGTTTCGTTGGAATATTTTTGAGAGTGCAACAAACTAATAAGTTTACCATAACTGAAGAAGAATCACTTGTCTCCAGAAACGACGTCATCCTAAAACTATACTCCCCAGTATTTTCCTCAAGTACGCGATTTAAAGACATGATATTTTTCGAATGACCTGTCTAATTTCACAATTTATTAATCATTATTTAATCTTATTAAATACGATTTGTTTACTTAGAGTTATGTAATTTCTTTTGTTTATATAGCTACCTAATTAAATAAATCATTATGTTGAGAAATAAATTTGTATTTATCCATTTATAAATTAAAAATACCATATTTAACTGCTTCTATTCACCCCCGATTCCTTTCAATAGAAACAAACATAAAATTAAAGTTACTGTTACTGTTAAGTCATTTATTACGTCACGCAAAGTGACTACTACATAACCTATAAATTGCCTCAAACCTAAGGATTGTCATATTTTTTATCTACAGTAAGTACTAATTGAAGACATGAGTTTAATGTGACAAAGTTATCATGTCCCTTTTTTGGAAATTACTTTTTGCAATTTTTGAACTTTCCCGATATAGATCTAACCTCGCAATAATACTAATTTCACCCTTAGGATGTCTTTTTTTATGATAAAGGCTCCAAAACCTAGAAGAAGATGGACGGACAGTATGGCATGGAACTTGAGAAAGATGGAAGTGCCAAACCAAATTACAACAAGCAAAGTGGAGATAATTATGGAGCATATAAGAAATTTACCGACTTACTCAAGCTATTAGAGTAGGGCTAAATCTTCAAACCAAAGACACATAAACCCAGGCTTGAATGTGCCAATTATGTATAAACTATACAAAACATTCTGTAGATAAAAAGATAAAAAGAAAGCTTTTACAGTTTTATATTCAAAACAAACTTTAATCTAGGTTTTCACAGACCTCACACCGACACCTGTGACACTTGTGACAAGCTACAAATGAAAAGTAGTCACGGCACGCCTGGTGAGAAGCAAGCAGCTGAAGTTGAAAAAGAACGTCATTTAAGGAAGGCAGAGGCAGCTTAAGGTGCTAAAAAAAAGGTTGTTGCCAAATTCTTATGTGACCTATTATTTGCGCCAACTATTTACATATAATTTGAATATTCATAACCTAACAAGTGAAATCCCGTCAGAAATACTCAAATTACTGGATGAAAGGGAAATTTCAGCACTACACAAAATATTTAACTTAATTTATGAAACTGGCTGCTATCCTCAACAGTGGTTACGCTCTACCTTTATTCCCCTGCCCAAGAAAGTCAATGCAAAAAGATGTGAGGATCACAGACTCATTATCCTGATGAGTCACACACTTAAAGATATTCTTAAAAATACTACATCAAAGATTATACAAAAGATGTGAATGGGACATCAGTGGCTCCCAGTTCGGGTTTAGACAAGGTTTAGGAACACGAGAACCAATAGTAGCAACACAGGTGCTGGTCCAAAATTGTTACGATCAGAAGAAGGATGTGTTCCTATGCTTTTTGGATTACCAAAAAGCGTTTGATCGTGTCCAACACCACAAGTTAATGCAGATCCTCAAGAAAGTTGATATAGATCAAAAAGACATAAGATGCATTGAAAACTTGTACTGGCATCAAACGGCACAGTTAAAAATAGACAACTCTATATCCAAACCCATACATATAAGAAGGGGCGTTCGACAGAGATGTGTGCTTTCCCCTCTTTTATTTAACATTTATTCGGAAGCCATATTTCAAGAGTCTTTGGGGGATGCAAAGATGGGAATCAAAGTGAATGGAGTATTGATCAACAATATACGATATGCTGATGATAGTGTCTTAATTTGTGACAACATAGTCGATCTTCAACAACTTGTCACTATAATCTGAGAATACAGTAAGCGAATGGGATTAGAGATTAATACCAAAAAAACCAAATTTATGAACATCTCCAGAAACTTGGATGCACTTGAAAACTCCACCATAACACTGAATACTAAGTCCATTGAAAGAGTGAGTAAATTTAAATACCTGGGATCGTGGCTTTTCGAAGACGGCATCGGACAGGGAAGTAAAATGTCGCATTAAGCAAGCTCGACAAGCTTTCGTAAAATTCAAGAAGGTACTGACTTGTTCAGAGTTCGATCTTCAACTGAGACTAAGGTTTACTAGGACTAAGGATTAACGACATACAATATCTGATACATATTGCAAGAAATAGAGAATTAATGGAAAATTTGATCGCTAACATCCATTAGTGGATTTGCATCTGAAGAAGAAGAAGAACAAGTGAAACCGCCCACACGTACATGTGGCACGAAGGACAGGTAGGTACATAGCTTCTGGTTTGTTAAAATTCGTTTAGAATCTGCCTCCGACTGTAAGACACATCTCTGTGTTCAGTGACAACTGTGTAGGGCAAAAGAAAAGTCACCTAATTGTCAAATTTTGGCTTTATATTGTTAACCATACCCAAATTGAAATTGTTAAAGAACATAGAACTTAAAAGAAGAAGAACCAACGTGATATCTATGTACTAGAAGACTGGGCATTTTGGCTGCATCAGCAGGTAGAAAATTTAATGTAACTAAGTTAATGGATGCAGAATCTTCAATTACTAAATCAGTACTTCCGGGAGAATGTGCCAGGGATACGAGGATTGCAGATATTGCATTATGAAAACGCA